ATATCTTAAATTATTGTCCATAGTTGCCCAAATCTCCCGTAAGCTCTGGGCTCAGCAACTGTAAATGTACTGATTTATTGAATCCTTTGTAAACTGTATTTATGTGCTGCTGAAAACCTCCAAGGGCTTTTCAGTGCCCATCAAGGTAAGAACTCGCATTCCATGTTCTCTAAGCAAGGCACCCAACTTGCCCTTCTGCTTTGCGTCCTTCCCTTATTGTGGGAGGGTGCACACCCTCCTCTGTTTCCCCAGGAATGTCATTCTCACTCTGTCTGCGTTCTTTCCTTTCCTCGATATCTAACTTCAGCCTCGACGCCCAGGTGACGTCAGGGTTTTGTGGTGAGGAGGCCCACTCACAGGCTCCCTAGCCTGTGCACGCTCCCTGCTTGTGTGCCTTCATGCGTTTCTTCCTGCCAATCAGTCTTCCCCCGCCACCTTCAGGGCCCATATCTAACACTTCCTCCCTTTTCCTTAATGTGTGTGTAAATAAAATAATGATTTTATTTTCTTTAAAATGACTAGTGCAAAATAAAACAGGTGTCAGTTGGTGAGTCAGAAGTAGTTCTTTTTTCATTTTCCAGGATATGGCATTTTGAGTATTGGGGCAACAAGGCAGTTGTTAACATCAACACAGTAGGATCGGATTTTGACAGTGAAGAGGAAAAAGTGGTCAATACAACTAAGATCATTGTTTCTCGAGTTAGCATTAGGACTCTAGGGAACGGCAGTGTTCCTAATGTTAACAGTCTAGTACCACTCTTCCTTGCTTCTCCCAATCTGCTTTCTGAAGCAACTTGAAGTTCCTCACAAATCCAGGCTACTGTGATAAGATTTACAACTCCAGAAATGTGTGGAGCTCCTGCCTTATATGAAAAGTTTTGAGAACCACTGCCTTAAATGGGATTTGGTAACCTTGGATGTCATCCTAAGCATCAGTGTTAACCACTTCAAAAATCATTTGGGGCCTTAAAAAGGTACTAATTAGAATGAAACTCTTGGGTTTGGGGCCTTTGGTTAAATATGTAGTTGATTCTTGCTGCAACACGTGAGGTGGGTTCACTCTGTTCCCAAGCAGAGGTCTGTCAAAGTGGGTGCATCTGGAGGCTGGATTGACCCTTTTCTGTCTCCTTGTTGCTGTGGGCAGGGATGGAGACGTGCAAGCAACTGCAGCACAAGCTGGAGACAGGGCAGAAATCTGTTGGGCCCCTTGGCCAGACTGGGTCTTCTCCATTTAGGTTTTACTCTTCTTGAGTATGAAGCCACAGCAGTTGGGGACTATCATTTCCCCTCCCCCAGGGCCAGGTTCAGGCAGTTCTCAAGCTGTTTTACATCCTCAGGCTCTTCTCCATTTCTCCTTCTCTGCTAGAAGCCTATTTGGTTTTCACATGTCTTTAAAAGAAAAACAAAGAGCCTTCCTTCAGTGCTGCTATAACTCCAAGCTACTTTTTTTTTTCCATGTCTTTTCAACCTAAGTCCAAAAACTAGTCTTTGTATTTGCTTCAGCTTCAACTCACTCCTGCACCCATAATCTGTGCAGAGATGAATTACCTAAACTTACTCCTCCAAGAAAACCACCCTTACCAGGGTCTTCATTGACAGCCTCGTGGACAAATCAGGCGATTCTTTTATAGCCCTTTTCTTCCTTCTCAAACTCTTCACAACAGTACTGCCCCTCTAAGTCTGTTGATGTTTTGTTTTTGTTCCAGGCCTCCTCTGTGTTCCCAAAATATGGATGTTTTGGAGGCCTGGGTCAAATTCTGTCTCTACTATCTAGTAGTTATGTAACATTAGGTAAGTTATAGCTCTCTGCCTTGGTTTCCTCATTTATATAAGAGAGGAAATAATACATCAGCAGGTTGGGTGAGGATGCCTGGCAGTTAGTAAGTACTCAGTAAGTATTAGCCATTGTCATTATCATTATCATCATTTGTATCTCATGTGCAACCATGGCTTTGGAACAAGATATGGCAAGGCTGTCCAGTGTCCTTTTGCATGACTCCCAGAGGTGAAAGAGAAGCCTGAGGAGCCACTTTGCATTAATTCACATGGCTATGTAGGAGGTCCAGGACCTCTTGAGTCCCCTCAGCCACAGTTCTCCCTGTCTCAGGGTTGTGTCCAAGCCTTTGAAGAGATATGTTTCTGCTCAGAAAGGCAGAATAAGAATTAGTGCCTTCTAATTTTAAAAACTAGCATGAAAAAAATTATTCAGGTCCTTACTAGTTATCCAGGGATAAGAGTCAATCTGTGGACATGTTGACTTACCATGTACTGTCTCCTTAGTCACACTCACGAAGATTGCTGACTCAGCTAACTGATTCTGTTACAGAAAACAGAAACTGAAAGCCCGGGGCCACTCCATAGTCCATGCCATAAAGCCCAGCGCTCTTGCTGGCCTCATAGTACACTGTTCACATAGTATAAAGTCATAAAAGCAAGGAAGGGCCTGCCTACACCTTAATCCTGTGGCTGGTCACAAGATCTTATATGGTTCAGAACACTGGGAGGAGGGAATTTTGGATGAGTCTAGCATTTTCTGGCTTCAGCCTTTTCTTTTTCTTTCTTGGAATAGATGTACATGTAAATTTTCAGGAGTTCTATATTTTATGCGTTAAATTTTTGTTGTTGTTGGATTTTACTTCTTGTTGAATACTCCGGGGAGAGCAAAATAAAGTTAATCGAACCATTCATTCTTTTGGACTTGCTAAGGAATCAGGCGCACCTCAAGTGGCCTTAGGTTCTTCTTTGGGCAGGGAATGGAAGATGGGCTGTGCTTAGCATTCTGAAGGCCTTGTGCTGGGTTTATCTAATCCACCCTTTTGGGGGGACCTTTTGTTCCCAAGGCATTCTGTGTCATTCATTAAAAGTTATCACCCCGAACATTTGCAAGTGTTCTATCGTTCAGAGATTTTTGCTTTTTTTCCCTTTGTCCTAGATTCAAATGAGTAGTTAAATAAAAGCTAATGTCGCTTTCTGGGAACTGTCAATTGAAAAAAATAGGCAAATTTAAAGAGAGTCTGCAATGTAAGTAGGCATAGCAATTAGATCAGTGATGAAGTGCATAGAATTTTGAGGGCTGGATGGTGTCTGAGAGAAATTCTAGTCAGATAAGGAATTGCTACAGAGAGAAATACTGTGCTTGCCATCACGAAGCCCGTTAATGCCAGAGCCTAGGCTGCACTGTCTCCTGGATTCCTAAACTCTTCCTTGCCGCCCTGCCACCTATCCTACAATACTTATTTTTAATCCCATATCTAGCATCCAGAGAGGCAGGGTATTTTAATTAGTCCTTTCTAATTATGTGCCCTTTTTTCTCTCACTTATTCACCTAATAATTAGACCCTAATAAGTGCCCTTTGGCAGAAATGGGAAGCAGCCTCTGAAGTGGCTTGCAGCCAGAGTTGCGAGCTCCCATTGCTAGGTGCTCTCCTTCCTGCATCAGAGGTGTGTGCGCATATGTGTGTGTGTCCATGCAGAGCCAAAGCCAATGCCTGGCACACAGTAGGTAATCACCCTAGTGAGAAGCCACCTTTCCTGTGGCCTTCCTAATCTGCTTAATACCTAATCTGTACTACTCAAGTTACAGTTGGTACTGCCCTGTGATTTGTCTGTGTATAGATATATTTATCTCCTCAACTAGATAGTAAGCAAGCATGTGGGCAAAAGAAGCCGTGACTAATATATTTGGTTTCCCCAGTGTCTGCTCAGTACCTTGCACATAATTCACACCAGATAAAAATGGTCGAATAGGAACATTTTCCTTTTGAGGAAGTTGCCTTATGGGTGCTATAAGAGGAAAGCCTGGAAATTCTAGTACCTGTGGGGACTGGTGAATAAACCCAGGCCTTGCAAACCTCTCTGATACCCAGCCCAACCTGAGATTGTCAGGATTTAATACAAGTGGATTTAGTTTTGCTAGGCTGAGTGGGCATGTTTTCTTTGCCCCTTTCCCAAAGGGGCTGCATTCTGGTTACTTAGGACCCACTGGGGTTATAATACAGACTTGATCAGGTATTGCCCTACCCTGAGTAAGATGCCTTGCTACTTCTCAGCACCTTGGGTGGCCTGAATGCCACACTTCTACTACTAGACTACCCTGTCTTTGGCTTCATTTCCCTTGGCTTTGTACCATTCTACCAATTCAGCTGGTTGGCTGCCTGGCCATGTTTGCAACTGGAGGGGATCTTCCAGGCAAATGTGACCTCCAGGGAGAGAGTAATCTCACATCCATTTTATTGGTTTGTTGACTTACTCCTCTGACAGGCAGTGCCTAGGCTACCCATGGCCATGGTATAGGTGTGGTTGCTTCCTGAAGGGGCCCAATCTCATGCCCTTCCTGTGTTGACATCAAGCTCTGACAACTTTCACCATAGTCTGTTTAGCCAGGAAGGCTGAAATAGTGACACAGCAGAGTGACTTAGTTGGAAATAGTTAACAACGGTCTGAGGGTTTGGCTAAAACCTAGGACCTTAATGAAAAACTTTGTACCCAGTCCCATCCTGAGCCAGCTCCAGCCGAAATCTTGCTCTTATCTTTCTGGAGCGGCTGCCTATAGTCAGGCCCTAGCAGAGAGTGAGTGGCATAAGCTCTCAGTTAAGTAGTATTTTCATGTTTTCAGACATAGCCAGGCTGAAGACTTGAAAGCAACGTAAAGAACCAAAGGGGATGGGAGGAGTGGAGTACAAGTTCAGGAGTCAGACGGACCTGAGTTTAAATCCAGGCTCTACCACTGTCTAGCTGGTGATTTTGAATAAACCAGTAAACTTCTCTGAGCCTCGGGTTCCTGTGGAGCTACCTGAGTGCTGGTGAGGTAAGCTATTTAAAGCACTTAGCACCTTGACTGGCACAAAGAAGACTCTCAGTAGCAATTACTTTGTTTCCTCAGCCTTGTCCCACCTCACCCTCTTGCTTCCCTTCCCCCAGGCTGCTGCTGCGGAAAGATACAGTTTCGTCACTGCTTGAACTAGGTCTTTATTTTGTCCCCTTTGCTTTTTCTCGTATTGCAACAGGCATCCCGGGCCCAAATCCTAGACAAAGCCACAGAGTATATCCAGTATATGCGAAGGAAAAACCACACACACCAGCAGGATATTGATGACCTCAAGCGGCAGAATGCTCTTCTGGAGCAGCAAGGTGAGCACCTGAGCCTGTGGGGCAGCTGGCCCTGCTGTGCTCTGGCCATGTCAGGGCTTTGCACCTGGGCCTGCAGAATCAGAACCAGTTACGGAGTGTGTGCTCATAAGCAGCTGCGGCCCTGCTTCTGAGTAGCTGAGTGGTAGAGCCGTCCTGAGGAAGGACCTGAGCCGCCAGTGAGGGAACAGTGGAGTCTAGGGCTTGGACATCTGGATACTTTTTTCTGAGCTGATCTCTCCCCTTCTTGGGGTTAGGTGCTCTGCCTATAGTAAGAGTCACACCTGGCATCAGGTGTCTCAAAAGAGCTAAGGTCCTTGGATTGGAGTGTGCTGTGTAAGTACCAGAAATCCAGGTGTTCAGGGACAGTGAGCTCTCCCATTGTCAATGGTAGTCCAATCAGGGCAGCCTATGGGCCAGGCCCATGCTGTTCTCCAATGCTCACATCCGCCTTTTCCTACAACCACAGGGGAAAGCGAGAGCTGATCAAGTTCTTTGTTCCTGGGGAATTCACTTCTCTTCCTCCCTCATGGAAGATGCAAGTAAAAAGAAATGCAAGTAACCATCTGGGTTAGAACACTTCAAATAAAATAAACTAATATAAATGGGTTCACCTTGCAGGCTCAAGATGAGCTGAACCAAGGGATGGGTAGAGGGAGGCAGCAGTGGGTTGGTTCCCGGGCCGAGCAGCCTGCATGTAGGGGCTATGTGTCAAAAGGCCCAGGTATTCTGTGTGTATTGGTGACTTGCTTCCAAGTGTCCAGCTTGTCTTTCCAAGTGGATCTTGTACATGAGAGCTAAGCCAGAACTTATCTTTGGCTAATACATCTTATGTCATCCTTTCCTGCTGTTGTGTGGCCTTCACACCCTTATGGATCCTAGCATTGCCAGGCCAGCTTCTCCTCTGTCACTGCGCTGTTGGGTTCCACAGGGAGCTCATGCTCCTGTCTACACTGGGCTTCCAACGCAGGATGATGACATCACAAGCCTTCTCTTTAGGGTTGAGTGGCATTGCAGATTAGCTGGCCATGTACACTGAGCTCAGGACTGGCTGGGAAAGGAGGAGGGAAATGAAGTGTGCTGGTGGAACAGCCACCAGAAGGGAATTATTTGTGAGCCACCCTGAGCCTCGGGCCAGCAAGCCCTTCGGAAGAACAGGCTGGACCCTGACCTGAGACTCAGTTACTCCTCTAGTCTCCAGAAGGCTGTAACCCGCTCGCTTGGTTGCTTTTCAGTCCGTGCACTGGAGAAGGCGAGGTCGAGTGCCCAACTGCAGACCAACTACCCCTCCTCAGACAACAGCCTCTACACCAACGCCAAGGGCAGCACCATCTCTGCCTTCGATGGGGGCTCGGACTCCAGCTCAGAGTCGGAGCCCGAAGAGCCCCAAAGCAGGAAGAAACTCCGGATGGAGGCCAGCTAAGCTCCGCGGGGCAGGCCAGCAATAAAAACTGTCTGTCTCCTCCGTCGTCTCATCCTCCTTTCAGTTCATCTTTAGAACCCTCAGAACCATTTAAGAGACTGTATTTTTTTTCTTTTCTCTCTTTTTTTTAAATTTTATTTTTACGTAGAAGCTCTTGGACAACAGCTCTCGTTCTCCTTCCCCATTTCCACTTTTTTTTTTTAATGTTTCCCTTCAGGGATTCCCTGTCCCCACCAGGAATTTTTAAACCAAAACACCCCAACTTGGCAGCTTTTTCTGTGGAGGACAGACGGCCGGCCGGACCTCTGAGCACACGGTGTCCTGACCACCCACCAGCTCCTCCAGCCCTGCCGGGCACAGGCCCGGAGGACTCCTGCCCCTCCTAGGCCTCTCCTCCCGGGCCACCCTCACCTCTGTTTGATAGACTTTGTGAATCTGTGGACTGCTCTACTTTAAGAAGATGACTGGTTTAAGAAGTAATCAGAATTAAAAAGCTATTTATCGCTCCTGTTGAAAGACCAGATCGTTGAAGAAGTTTGTGGTGTGAAAGGAAATGGGGACAGATTTGCAGCGCAGAGTCTTTGGCCTGTTTCACTCCTGCTTCTCAGCCAGCCTTAGGGGAGGGCCGCGTGACACTCATGTGGTATGTGTGGGGGACATCAGCAGTGAAGTGGTAGGCGCCAGAGGGTGCTAGGGGTGGGGCAAGGAGGGAGGATTGGGTGGGGTAGAGGTTTTGTATTGAGGGCCAGTGATGATGTTTTGATATTTATTTCCTGCTACTGAAATTTGAATCTGAGTGAATTGTCCCTATTTCTGATGATGTCGGTATTGCAAAGCGACAGATTCATAAAGTAATGATCAAATCTTCCTTTCTTTCCGTGTGTATTTCTAAGAAATAGAGCCAACTGATTTTGTATGTAAATACCAAGAGCAATTTACCTGGTACTAAACCCGCACCCCAGTGCGGCCCCTCCCACCCTCGCCCACTCCCTTTCCGACTGTTCTGGAACCTGCCCCACTGTGTGATCCAGCCCTGGTTCTGGCTGCAGTCAGCAGATCCCAGTGAAGGGTTTTGTGTGTTTAGGCCTCATTTCTTTGTCTTTTTCCTACTCCGTCCCTGGCATTTGCTGATTTCTAGTGTATACTCTGTAGTCTCAGTCCGTGTTTGATTCCATTCCATGGAAATAAAAAGTATGTTGTACATACTGCCGAAGAATTGTCTTGCAAGTTAAGGCTCCCCTTTACTATAAGACTATAAATAAAAACTTATTTTATCCTTCTTGGTGGTGGTGTCTTCTTGCCCTTGCAAAGGCCAAGACTGTTAAGACAAGAGCCCTGTGGAGGCCACTGGGCCTGTGTGGAAACTTGAGAGAGGAGCAGAGGTCGCTTAGATGGCCTTGCAGAGCTGAGAGCACCCAGAGCCAGAGCAGTTCCCTTTTTGTTCTAAAGGCTCAGCTTAGTCTGGCAGGGCAGGGGTGGATAAACTGGCGGTGATGACTTTGCTCATCGGATAGAAGCTTTTAAAGTTCCAACAGGGATGGGGTTATCCAGGGCAACATTTCTAGATCCAGTTCTTGTTAAATAAATAATCCTTAGGGAATTGGTAGCCCAGAGCTGTGGGTTTGGGTTTCTCCTGGTAATGAATGCCCAGTTCAAAGGCGACTGGTGTTCTCTAGGACCTTTTAGTTTCTAGAGAGTTCCAGCATTGTTAGAGGAGGCAGAGAGCTGGCAAGGGCTAGAAGTAAAGGAGGCTTCAACAGCATCAAGCTAGGGACCAGCACCAGCCCACACTTGTTTGACGTTAAAAAGAAGAGGATTGATGGCCAGAACACAGCTCAGCTTTGATTTTCCTGTCTGGCTGGCAGGATACAAGAGAGTGAAGTCAAATCAGTTCTTTGCTTTGTCACTTTCTTTAGACTGGTAGTGCTGGGACCCCTATCAGTAGGATGTGAGATCCATAGTATCTCTTCTTGGTTAATGGGAGTTGGCATGTTTCTACAAGAGGCAGTTTGTAGCATGGTCGACTCCCCCACCCCCAACCATGATTGCTGTAGGGAAACAAGGATGTTGGTGAGCACATCCCATTTATTAAAGGCACTCCATTTCAAGACAAAAAGAAAAGGCATAAGAAACATTGGAATGAGAAGTCAGGTGATTCCTTAATTTCTCAACGTAGGCATGCTTTCCTCCTCTTTTTCATTGCTTTTTACTATATCTCTTTGTATGTCTGGCCTTAATTATAAACCCCAAATCACACACAGCTGGCTTCGTCAGGGTGGGCATTCAAACCGAGCTGCAGGTTCTAAGCTAGGGGATGAGATGGAAGGAGTGTGAAGCTGGGCCCCCGTAGGCAGGGAGCCTGCACGGGGATAGGCAACGTCCCTGAGAACCAGTTCCTGGCTTCAGTATGTTGGCTGGACAAGCAGTTAAGTTTTAGGCTTCTCAAAATTTCAATAAACCAGTTGGAAGAAAAGAGCCACAATGGATAGCTGATTCACCTGGGAAATCAGAAGCACTTGACTGACTTGCTGAGCAAACTAGCAAGCTGTGGGGGAAGGTGGTGCTACCAGGAGCAGCTGCCTGGACAGGAAAACAAGGTAAGAGACCTGGTTATTCTCTGGTTTGTTCTCAGCGCTGCTCTCTGGGAAGTCCCCTGCAAAGCCAGAGAGTCCATGACTCACTTGGTTACTACAGCGGGTGGCCTCACCGAGGGTCCTGTGAAAAGCCACCTCTTTTTCTTCCGCAGTGGTGAGCTTGGTGTTTTCCTACCTTTGCAGTTGCCTCAAGTAAAAGGGTATTTTAAATGGCCCAGCTTTTTAAATTCTTGGCATGCTCATCCCATATGTAGAGGAGCTACAGCGTCAGCAGAGAATTGCGTTAGCTCACAGAACTGTCTTAGCTGGGAAAGGTGTAAAAAACAAGACTGAGCAGATGATAGAATAGAGAGTAGTGTTTTGTGCGTGGCCTCTGAAGTCAGACTGCCTGAGTTCAAAATCCTGGCTCTATCCGTAGCTGGGAAGTCTCAGGCAGGCCACTCCTCTTGGCCTTGGTGTCCTCATCTATACAATGAGGACGACGATGGTACTGACCTCTTAAAGTGGTTGTGGGGATGAAGTGAAGTATGCTTATAATGCGCTTGATCTGGGTGGGGATTAAGCGAGCACTTGGGTAGATGCCAGCTATTATTATCTACATAAAGCACGTGACCAGGGCTAACTCTGCAGGATGGAAAACTCCAGCTCCTGCAGCCCTCTGCAGTGTATGAGGGTGGGTTTCTCGGTGTTTCCCAAGTGCTTCCCGCCCCTGAGATGTGCCCTCTTCTTCCAAGGAAGAGTGACTAGAGAGACAGCAAGGGAACCCCAAGACTGGACTGATGCACTCTTCAAAACAAGAGAGGCCCTCATGGCTGCCTGAGTCGGATCTGGTGTCATCCCAAGCCATGCTCTGCCATTCCCTCCCCCTGCCATTCAATGGCATCTCTAAACTTGTGATATTGGACCTTCTGCCCAGGAAGAATCTCTCAGAAGCCCCCATGGTGTTGTTACTCAAGTGGGGTCCTTGGGCCAGGCCCAGGGGTGCTTATTGAAAGGATTCCTGGGCTCACACTCCCCTGACCGAAAGCATACTTTGGCCCAACAGTCAGACTCAGTTTAACAAGCTCTCCCAGGTAGTTCTCGTGCACTCAGGTCTGACTCCCAAAAGTAAAATAGCCCAGGGAACAAAAGGAAGCTGTTGAGGAAAGTGAGACACAGATGAGCCAAATTAGCAAAGTGTAGCTGAAGCCAGGCTCTTTAAGGCTGCATGTGGAGAGAGGTGAGGGAAGGGGAAGGAGGGACTTGTCAAACAGTCCATTTGATAGGGCTGCCTTAACAGTTTCCCTTCTCCCTGTGGAACTCGAACACTCAGCTGACCAATGGCCGCCCAGCACCCGCTTTTAAAGCCTACTGCTCCCGAAAGAGGGTGATGTTATGGTGCAACACCCGTTTTTATACCATCCACTGACTGTCCTCTGGCCACCAGGCAGGTGTATAAGCCAGCCAGAGCAAAGCTATCTCTCAGGCCTGTTCCCCAGGCTCCATTCTGCAGAGCCTCCAATAACCTGAAACCAGAGCCTTTTTTGTTGTTCAAAACAGTTTTTCTAGCCTGTGGAGGAAACCCAGGTAGGGAGTGGGAGTTTCCCAGCCTCTGCACTGAATGTGCAGTGGGAAAACCATGGGAGAAAAGGACCCTTCAGAAGCACTGCTGGGCTGTGAATGTGCAAAGACAATGTCCTTCAGTGTCTGGGGTTTACTTAGGATGGGCTAACTAATACAGCCCCAGACTTTCCCTGGGAAGGAGATAAACAAAAATTGTTTATAGTGAATTCCTCAGCTATAAAACCAAATTGGCCAAATACCCCATCCCTGGCCCAGTTTGAATAAGCAGGCTTACCTGTGCAGGACTAGAGTGATGACATCAGGCAGGCCCCCACTCGTTTTTGAAGCTCTCCCAGCAAGCCATCATCACCCGGCTTTGCCAGTGTTGTCCTTGCTTGTGTTGCCTGTTGTGGTCAGGGTGGGGCAAGGAGCTTCAGAACCAGTGCCTGAGGGGTTTAGGTCACAGGCTCTGAGCCCACCTGTCTGAATTTGCTCTAAGTGGCATTGCCCTGGTTTCCTGAGATGTAACCTGAGGACAACAATAGCACAAAGGCATAGGCCTAAGTGTGAAAGCCCTTGAGCTGTGCTTGGCCCTTAACAAGTACTCAAATATTAACAATTCTTAGATCTTCCTGCCCTCATAGGTCCCAGGCAGTGCAACCATTTCTGTTTGAGTTATGTTGAAATATGTAGTGAATAAACTCCATCTTTCAGTGCATTGAAATCCTTAAAGGGAAAGTAAATAAATGTTGAATACCGAAGGGTGTTAACCATTAGGCTTTGCTTGATTTCTGAAGGAACTCATGAAAGACCTCGAATCTGAAAAAAATCTGGACTTTGAAAGTGAAATACACCCTTGCTGGCTGGATCAGAACCATTAACCATTACTTTGCACTGCTCTCCCTCCTGGTTTCAGTTCATATTTCTGCAGTCCTGGTGGTCTGCACCATGCTAGGCACAGAGATGCTGCAAGCCCATCTTGTGCATGCCCAGTGGTTCCCACCAGGGCCTGGTTAAGACAGGGTTGAACACTCGTTACTTAGACTTTCTGGGGTAAGGTGGGGACAGACTACCTGTTGGCTCTATGGTCTGATGAGCGGTACACATGCTCACCTGGCTGATGTGTGTGTGCCTTGTGACACCCAGTAGGATGGGCGTGTCTAGAAGAGAGCCAAACAGGTGGCCCTGGACAACTCACAACCAGCCAAGCAGGTTCCCTCCTGCGAAATGTGCTGGATGCCAGCTGCACCAGCAGGCCTGTTCTGACTGCCAGGCCCCATTTAGGGTTGTTTTCCTCTGGTGTCCATTGCAGGGGTGGGGCCCTCGTACACCCACAGCCTTCTCTGGGCAAAATTATCCAGCTATGGTCTCTGCTATTAATTTTAAACAACAGAGGAATCAAGGACCCAATGTTCAATTGGTGCCAGAACCTTCCACTCGAGTGCTGAACATGGTCAAGGTTTGAGCCTCCCTCCAAGAAAAACAGAAGCCTGGCGGCAACTGTGGCAGGCCTGTAGTGGAGGTACCCACGCCACAGGCCAGCCCTGCAAGGACCAGTGAGCCACAGAAGTCTGTTCAAGAAACAACCAATGTGATTTCACTTACATGCGGAATCTAAAGAACAATATAAACAAACAAAACAGAAACACTCATAGATACAGAGAACAGACTGAGGGTTGCCAGAGCAGGCCAGGGTTAGGGGACTGGGTGAAAAGGTGAAGGGATTGAGAAGTACAGATCAGCAGTTACAGAGTAGTCTTGGGGATATATTCCCTGTGAAGTACAGCACAGGGAATATAGTCAATAGTAACTATGTATGGTGCCAGTGGGTAATATGGGCGGAACACTTTGTAAAGTATGATTTTCTAACCACTATGCTGTACACCTGAAATTAATACAAGATAATACTGAATGTAAAATATGTATATACTTTTGATTTTTAAAAAAGGAAATAACCAAAGTGGCATGTAGAGCTGCCACCCATAACCCTGTCACTCATCAGCAGCAGAGGAGTCCAGCTGGCTGTGTGGCTACTACACACACGCTTGAGAGCTTTGTTGTTCCATATCTCCTGGTGCCATCAACAGCTTGGAGGTGGCAGGGGCAGATCTGGGGCTAAAGGACAGCAGCCAGTGGCTTTAGG